TTCAAAAGGCAATGTCTGTGACCCAATTTTCATTTACTTTTTTAGCAAAACGACTTTTTAAAAAAATTACTTCTAGGGCTGAAATTACAAAGATATGACACAGCTTTCCTTCTCTCTGGAGCAGGGTGAAGGAGCTGGCCCTGCATCTGCTTTTGTAAATAAAGTTTTATTGAAACACAGTCATGCTTCTTCTATAAGGATTGTCTGTGGCTGAGCCTTCAATTATAGAGCTGATGAGTGTTTGCAGCAGAGACTGTAAGGCTTACAAGTCTTAAAATATTTACTTCTTGACCCTTAACAGGAACTGTGCACTGATCCCCAGCCTAGACTATTACTAAAATGTGTGTTTCAGAAAACAGCCTAAATATCTGGCCAATTTGGTCCACCACACAGGGAAGTTCATTCTCTCATATTGGAATCTAGCACCTGGACTTTATAACCCCCCTTGGACTCCTGGGTCTGGAAACAGAAAAGCCGAGGTTGCAATGGCAGGATCCACTACCCACCTGAGGTTAATGAGGTTAAAATAAAAGCAGAGTTTTATTTGGGTGTAGAATAGATTTGCAAATCAGGAAAACACCAGCTCAGTTTAGAAACCCGGTGAGCATTCCATCCAGGTTAAACAGAACTGATGATTTTATAACCAAAAGGAGCATTAGGGGATGGGAATGGAGAGAGAGGATCCAGGCAAATCCAGTGGTTGGATACAAGACAAACTGACATAAACCACTGAGTGACACGAGTTTTTTAAAGTTCATTAGACAATCTTGGCAAACTGGCCAATCTAGTATTCTCAAAGCTTGTCAATTATTATTAGACTCAGAAAACCATTGCCTCTGGTGGATTGAGTTCTGGACACAATATCTTTGTGGCAATTTACCCCTGTCAGAAAAATTTGTAAGGGTTAGAAAAGGATTACTGCTCTTTTTATCTAATTTTTATGTTATACCTTTCAGTGGAGTGGGGTTGGCTGGAACCGGGTGTCTGCTGAGCGCACAGCTCTGGGAAATGCATCTCTGCTTCTGTGGCATACAGAGAAGAGGAATGCAGGGCGGGCTGGCTCTTCTCATGGCAGTGGGTAAAATAGAAATGGGTACCCTTCAGCCTTCAGCTTTGCTAAGCACAGATCACTTCAAGGGTGATCTGTGCAGAGATAGCTAAATAAACACAGAGCTCGGTCCTCTTAGTTCTTGAGTGGTTAGTTTGAATGCCAGTCAGTCTAGATGCCACATTTGAAAATTAGGACTCTGGGTGAACATTGTCTGGCTTCAAATGCTGGCTTCGTCCCTTTTTGGCTGAGTGGAAGAGGACAAGAGGCCTAGACTCGCTGTGCCTTGGCTTCATCAGTCTGTTCTTCTATCTATTCTAGTTATGTGCAATTAAGTCTCCCAAAACACTGACTTTTCCAATGCTGAGCCATTGCCCCAGGGGTGAGTCCCTGTGGGAGGCCACCCTGTCCATGAGCTGAGCATTCTCTGTCAGCCTTGAGTAAGGGGGGTGTTTGGTCTGGCTTCACATGCCACTCACTGTGCAAAGTAAGTGGCCTCCACCTTTGCTGGGCAAAGAAGTTTGCCCTAGCCCTAGACTTGGGCGTTACCCAGTGGAACTGGACAACCCCCATTTGAAACCTTTTCCTCTGCATTATTTGGTGAAGAACATACCATCGAAACCCATTTGTGTGTCCCCCCCGTATAAAAACAAAGAGATTCCGGGTGCTCGCTCTCTTGCCTTCCATTGTGGAAGAAGACCCTTGAGGGTGCAGAGTAGCCCCACTCTCCATCTGAGAAACTCATGTCTGTGTGTTGCATGATTTCTTTGCCGTTTTTTTAGTTTAATGTTGCAGCCAGCTCCTTTGAACCCAGTTCATCCCGTCAGTGTGGGTGGCTGGCAAGAAGTCCCAGAGAGGCTCTGCTCACATTTTTATCAGTCAATCAGCACATAACCTTGTCTCCTGTTCAAAGACACCTTATTTGATGCACAGTGCTGGCCCATAACATTGAACTCGTGGCCATGCCTGAAGGGAGCTTGCCTAACATACCTCCTCACCCATATTTTTTCTTTGTGAAGCTGTGGCTCAAGGTCAACAGGGAGCTCAGGCAGGAGCCAGACATCCTCTTTTCCGTCCCCTACAACATCAGCTAAGATAGTAACCTTGGGAGAAGGAGGTCTTCTCTTGACCGGCCCCCCAAGGGAGTTGGGCCATTTAAGAACATGATGAGATGGAGCTGCATGGATGGGGTGGTCAGTGTGAGGCTTAAGGTGGAAGGGTCAGACTAGTAAGAACATAGCGCCTTAATTTCCTGTCAGGAGAAAAGGGAGCAAGACAGGAATAAGTAAAGGTTATTAAATTGACTTTTAATAGAAACTACTTCTAAAGAATGATTCAACTGGGGTGCTAAGCCTCAGTCAAGAAAAATGGACCGTTCTGGAAAAAAAAAATGATCTGGATAAGCTGGGAAAGAGTTAGAAATGACCAAAATAAAGTGGTGCATTCCACCAGGAGAATGTATGGAACTAAACCTTCAGAGGTCTGTTTCCTAAAACGGAACTGAATAAGAGTTTTCAGCGAGTCCTTTCAGGGATCAGTAGTTTAAGACTTAAAATCTGTGAAGGAAACTGAAAGTCATGTTCCAAGTGTTTCTCAAACTTCTGGAAGGACTCGATAGTCATCTGAAGGCATGTGTGAAAATAAAAATTCCCAAATTTCTGGCCCATTCCAGACTAGGTGAATCAATTAATGAACCAATCTCCAGGGAAGCTGTTTGCAGAACACTCCAGCTGATTCCTAACAGGAAACACTACTCCACGAACTCAGTTCACTTAGTTTTCTTTGTTTCATGACCAGTTGATGAAGCCTGCTCCTGTTTACTCTGGGTGTCTGTACTTGCCTATAGATTCTGAGTTTGGGAGATAATTTTAAAATGACTGCTTTCCAAATAAATGTCCTATATTTTGAAAAAAATAGAGAAATAATAGTTTCTGCCTCATCAGAGGTTGGGTGAATTAAACTACAAATCATTGTGTGTCAAGTGCTTATCATGGGGCATTGCACCCAGAGCACTGAGTAAATATGAGTCATTGTCACTGTTGATCATAAAGAACAGGATTCTGATATTTGGAATAGGGATCTCTGGGGTTTGCAGTCTGTCTCAAGGGATTGCAAGCCCTCTCCACGGAGCTGCTGTGCTCACGCCAGGCAGAAGCCCTGGCTGGCCATAGGAAGCGCCCTCTCCCTTCTGAAGAGCTGTCTCCCCTCTCATCAAAGGCAGGTCCTTCCAGCAGGAGGGTGGTGCTTCTCTTCATCACCTTTTATTATCAGTCTTGATAGTTCGTCTTTAGGCCCTGAACACGTGGAGAATCTTGAGAATGGAAATGAATAACAGATGAGATGGGAAAGAACTGCACATGCATCGTGAGACCCATCCTCCTGGCTTGTCACCTGCGATGTGCAGAAAGATCAATTAGATTTTTCAGGTGTTTGCTGTAGACAGCTGAAAAGAAAATTTAAGGATTATGAAATGGGAATTTACCATTTAACAATTCTAAGGCGAATATCCATTGAATCTCATCCAGAAACACCATTTGGCCAGAATCACATTTGGCCAAATATCTGGGCACCCCATGGCCCAATCAAGTTGATGTGTAAGCTTCACCCTCCCTTCTGAAGCTCGTTTTCCTGCGTTTCAAATGCCAGCTTGAGAGCTCTGTTTGCACTGGGGGATCCTTTCCTGCTGCCCGTCAGGAGCACAGCTGGTATCCCACTGTTTTTCTCACTGATCTACCATCCAGGTCAAGATTTAAGACTTGACCAGCTCCCTCAAAGCCGCCAGCGTGATTGTCTTTCCTGTCCTCCTGCCCTACTGGCCACACATCCCCTGGCTTTGGGTCACCCATCCTGCTGCTGATTGGTGTAGTTCAACACCTTGGCGTGCGTCCCTGGTCTTGTTCCAGAGCATCTG